AGAATATTTTGTAAAATAGTTTTGATAGAATAAGATTAAGTGACATAAAAATAAGATAAAGCTTTGTATTGTTGTTGTGTGCCATTGAGTCGGACCCAACTTATAGCAACCCCTCCTTGGGTTTCTGAGGCAGTATTGCTACAGAAGTAAATTGCCCAACCTTCCTCCTGAGATAGCTTTCTATATATGGTATGATTTTAAAAAATGGTTTAATGTACAGGAAAAATAAGAATATAAGGAAATATGCTTAAGTTTTAACAGTGATTTTTCTTGGTGCTGTGGGATATTGAGTGGTCGCTATTTTTTTCTTTATACTTCTCAGTACTTTATAACTATTCACAATGGGGAAAATGGATGTATAACTTTAATACACATATCTTACTTTCATAATCATCTATCTATCTAGCTGATTATAAGAGAGAGAAGGAAGTGGACCGATTTAGTAAGATGTGACATTGAGCTGAAACCCAAGCAAGGACAAGGAGCCATTCATTTCGAGAACTGAGCGGAAGCTCTTCCAGGCCAGGGAAGCAGCAGGGACAAAAGCCCAAGGTTGGGGCAGGTTTGGAATGTTCTAGGTTCAGAAGAGTGGCCAGTGGGAGAAAGAGACGAATATAATAAGGTCAGGGAAGTTGTCAAAGGCCAGGCTATGAAGGACCTATGATAAGAAGTTGGGAAACCTTTACAGGAACTGACACACCTGTTTTCAGTTTTGAAAGCCCTGGGGACATGCAGGTGAGTAGATTGTCCAGTGGCTGGTGTAGAAGTCGGGAGACCGATTAGGACAGCATCTCAGGAATCCTGGAGAGAAATGACAGGAGACAGCAATGTAGGCTGAGATCTGTATTTTGGTGATCTTGGATTTGTCATTCATCGGAGTCCATAGCTGGTACACTGCTTGCCAACCTTGAGCTTGTCAGCCCCTGCAGCTGTGTGAGTTTGGAAAAGCCTCCAGCTTGATGTTTGATCCAAGAACTTGGGACTTGCCAGCTGCTATAAGTGTGTGAGCCATTTTCCTAAGAAAAATTTCTCTGTCTCCGTCTCTCTATATAAGCTTTACTGATTTTGCTTCTCCAGAGAACCCAGCCTAACACAGCAATAAAAGGAAGTGTTGCCTGGACCTGTGCCATCTTCACCATCATTCTCTGCTCAAATCCGTTCTTATGGCCACTGTGCGTCTTGAGTGCCTTCCAATGTAGGTGCTCATCTTCCAGCACTGTCTTCTGTTGTGATCTGTAGAGTTTTATTGGCTAATTTTCAGAAATAGATCACCAGGTCTTTCTTCCTAGTCTTGGGATGGAAGCTCCACTGAAGCCTGTCCGTTATGAGTGACTGTGCTGGTATTTAAAATACCGGTGGCTTAGCTGCCAGCATCTCAGCAACACACAAGCCACCCAGTACAAGCAGTGAGTCACGTGTTTGAAGCTCTCTGAGCCTCGAGAGACTGGGGGAAAGTGAGACACAGCAATGCTATTTGACTAGCCTCCGTGGCCTTTGAACTTGGACACAAAGAATATGGCTCCTGAGTTGTTGATAATTCTGAGGATGATTTTCTCTCCCTGAGTGTCTGAGGCCATTCGTTAGTGTGCACAACACTTTACCAGAGAAACCTTGTGCTTTCCTTTTCCTGTCTTGGTGTAGAATTTCCTGAAGTCAGAAAGGTTTATTACAAAGCTCTGTAACTGATTGCTCAGAATATTAAGCTTGTGAAACTCACCATGAAACAATAAATAAATACAGTGAGGTGTGAGGTCAGAACATGTGGGGAAAGGAGCAGCGTCATAAGAGGTTCACAGCACACTCGCCTGTTTATCTTGGTTCAGCCTGGTCTTTCCCAGCAGTGTGGGACTGCCACCACACCTTCTCTACACACGTGGTAATGTTTTACAAAACACTGGGGTTCTGTGGAACCCACTGGGAATGCTGGCTTGTGGTGAGGCCTTAGCTTGTGACCTGGACTGGAACCAGCCTTAGCTTGATACCTGACGGAGCCTACATGAGGCTGTGCGACACTCAGTGAAATAAGTATCTTTGCTTTTAATGATGATGAATACTGTCTGTGAAATACACTAACCAACCATCAAGCCAATTCCACCTCATGGTGACCTCACGTGTGTCAGGGTAGAACTGTGCTCCATAGGGGTTTTAATGGCTGTTTTTTCCCTGAAGTAGATCACCAGGCCTTTCTTCCAAGATGCTACTGGGTAGATGACAAAATAAAAATGTGAAACTTTGAAAGTAAAGCTGGACTGTGGAATATGATATAAGGCCTGGTTCCCAGTACCAGCTGTCCTGGTGTAGTTCCTACTTAGCTCTGAGGATTACTCCAATTCTAAATGGTCTGCTATCATCTCACATCCCCTACCGGAGTGGAAGAGGGATTGTGAGGATGAACCCCCATCCCTGGTGTTTACAAGGACACTCCAATGGGCCCTTCCTGGCACTTTCACTTTGTGACCTGAAACCCACTGCCATGGAGTCCATTCTGACTCATAGTGCCCCTAGAGGACAGAGTAGGACTGCCCCACAGGGTTTCCAAGGCTGTAATCTTTACAGAAGCAGACTTCCTCATCTTTCTCCCATGGAGTGGCTGCTAGGCTCAAACCATCGATCCTGGTCCCCCTCTCTTTGTACATCAACATTCAATAATTTATGTGGGCAGTCTGCACTGTGTCTCCTCAGAAGCAGGTCTAGTCAGCTGTTCTTTCTGTCTCATCCAGGGTCATAGTTATTAGTGTTGTCACTGCTGTATTGTGGGAGCAAGAACAATGGGGTTAATCTATGGATTATGCAAACCCTGGTCCAAAAAAACCATTCCCTACCCAGCACACAAGCACAAGACAGCAGGATCAAAGGTGGAAGCAACCTAAATGTCCATCAGCAGATGAATGGATAAACAGGATGTGGTGTATCCAAACAATGGAACGTTACTCATAAAACTTCATAAAGAGAATGAGGTCCTGATACATACATGACGTGGGTGAACCTTGCAAACATGACACTGAGTGAAATATATCAGATACAAAGGAACAAATGTTGGGGCACACACAAAGAATAACCCAGTGTGGAAAGGCAGTCTTGGCATTTTTGTAGCAGCCCTAGCTGGGGACACAGCATGGTGGTGAAGAGGATGGCTTTGCAGCCAGGCCGCCTGCTGCAGTTCCTGACTCTGCCCTTTCCTAACTGCATGATCTGGGGCAAGTTATTTAACATCTCTGAATCTGTGGTTAAGTGCTGGACTGTTTACTGTAAAGGACAGTGGTTCAAACCTACCATCTGCTCCATGGGAGAAAGATGTGGCAGTCTGCTCGTGTAATGATTTACAGCCTTGGAAACCCTATGGGGGCAGTACTACTCTGTCCTCTAGGATCGCTATGGGTCAGAACCATCTTTGTGGCAGTGGATTTCAATACCTCATTTTTTCTTCATTTACAAAGTGGGAATGACGATGATGATGATAGTGCCTACCTGGTAGGATCATGATAAGAACTGAATGAATTAATACATAAAAAGTGTTTGGAACATTGCTGGGCTCAGGGGCAGTGTCCTGCTAGTATGGTTACTGAATTCTTTACATCAGGAATAAACCAAAAACCAAAAACCAAACACACTGCCGTCATGTCAGACACGACTCATAGTGACCCCTTCTTGGGTTTCCGAGGCGGTATCACTATGGAAGTAGATTGCCCAACCTTCCTTCTGAGGAGGAGTGGCTTGTGGGTTTGAACTGCCAGCTTTCTGGTTAGCAGTCAAATGGCTTAGGCACTACGCCTTATCAAAATAGAGGCATTTATTCCTTTATTCAACAAATATTGGTTTAGTATCTACTATGTCCCAGTCACTATTCTAGCTGCAGGGACATATTAATAAATAAAACAGACAAAAATCCCTGTTCTCATGGAGCTTCCATTCTAGTAGACTCATTGCCATTGAGTCAGTTCCACTCATAGTGACCCTATAGGACAGAGTACAACTGCCCCACAGGGTTTCCAAGGCTATCAATATTTACAGAACCAAAGCCAAACCAAATCCACTGCCATCAAGTCAATTCTAACTTATGATGCCCCTAGAGGATAGGATAGAACTGACCCATATGGCTTCCAGTGCTGTGTTCTTTAGGGAAACACTGCCACATCTTTCTCCCACAGAGCAACTGGTAGTTTTGAACCACCAACCTTTTGGTTAGTAGCTGAGTACTAAACAACTGTGCCACCAGGGCCCCTTTCTAATGGAAGATACTGGTAATAATGCAAATAGAAAGAAAAATAAGCCAAATTATGCTTAGCCCAGTATCTAGCTTGTTGTTGTTGTTGTTGTTATGTGCTGTCGAGTCGGCCCCGACTCATAGCGACCCCTCCTTGGGTTTCCGAGGCAGTATCACTACGGAGGTAGGATTGCCCAACCTTCCTTCCGAGAAGTGGCTGATGGGTAGCTGTTCAGTAAATGGATGCAGTATTCATATTGGTATTGTTTTGTTGGTGTCGTCATTATTATTGTAGCTCAATGGGACTTGGAAGTGTCAACCCTCATCTAAGATAAGAAAATGAAGCTAAGCCAGTACAGAAAGCTTTGCCAGTGGACAATTGAAACTGCTCCATTGGAATGGATTAGAGAAGAAGAAAGAGAACCAGAAGGGATGGAATTAGGCCGTCCCCTGTGGCCATGCATTTAGTTGAAATTTAGCTGAAAATGAAAATGAGCTGGGTGCATTTTCCTTCAGGCCGATTCCCACATTGTAAACCCGAGGCCTTTGTCGGCTGCACCAGAGCACAGAAGAGGGCCTTGCTGGTCATCATCAGGGGCTGCAAGCCGATGAGGAGCAATCAGCAATCGCCTGCTCACTCCTCCAAAATAGTTCACTTCCTAAAGGAAAAATTGTTCAAAATAATCCCCCCACATCCCCCACCGCCCCAAGAGTGTAGACCTTGGCATTCATCAAAGAGCGTGGCTAAAATAAACCCTCGACCTTGCTCACTGGTTCTTTATCTTTTCTTTTCCAGAAACCTCCTGTATGTCTACCCACAGAAGCTGAACTTTACCAACAAGCTGGCATCTGCCCAGAACATCACACTCAAGATCCAGTTCATGTGCGGAGAGGATGCTAGCCACGCAATGCTGGTAAAGAGGGAAATAAGCGTTTCCTCAAACCGGGGTGGGCTGGACTGCCTGGTGAACTCACACAGCCCACAGCTAGTCCTCATCAGTGTACTTTGTTCCACTTGCTGTCGTGTCAACCCCAATTTGTGGCCACCCCACACATGTCAGAGCAGGACTGTGCTCACAGGGTTTTCAGTGGCTGATTATCCTGGAAGTGGATCACCAGGCCTTTCTTCTGAGGCGCCTCTGGGTGGATTTGAACCTCCAGTCTCTTGGTCAGCAGCTGAGCATGTTTGCACCACCCAGGGCCTCACATCAATACACAGAGTGTGTATTCCAGCTCTGCTCTACTCGTCAAGGAATGCTGCAGCTAGTCCACCGCTGTCCCCAGGATACTGATGAGGAAACAGAGGTGGTCCGCATTGAAAGTCTCTTTCCTAACTTATTCCGTGGTGGGCTGTGAAACTCTGGGAATGCGGATCATTATACAGGGCTGACAAACACTGTGCAATCTTCCCCTGCCGCCAGCCTATGAATCCCATGCCCCCAAGAGCTTAAGAAGCAGAGAGAAGGGCTCAATGTGTCAGTCATGTTGAATGGACTTCTGGATATGTGCTGCAGAACACACCTACCCAGCCCCACCCACCCCCAAGTAAGAAGAAAGCCTTGTCCGGTGATAATAACACACCACCTTAGCACCTTTGAGGAATGGATCTTCATCCTGAGGCAAAATACAGGTTAAATAAGATCACCACCACCATAGCCATTGAGTCAATTCCAGCTCCTAGGGATCCTGCAGGACGGAGTAGAGCTGCCCCATAGGGTTTCCAAGGCAATAAATCCTCACAGAACCAGACTGCCATGTCTTTTTCCCTCAGAGGGGCTGGTTGGATTTGAACTACTGAGCTTTTGATTACTAGCCTAGTGCTTAACCACTGCACCACTGTTGTTGTTGTTGTTACCTGCCGTCGAGTCGGCCCCGACTCATAGTGACCCCTCCTTGGGTTTCCGAGGTGGTATCACTACGGAAGTAAGATTGCCCAATCTTCCTCCCGAGAAGTGGCTGGTGGGTTTGAACTGCCAGCCTTCTGGTTAGCAGTCAAGTGCCTTAGGCACTATGCTACCAGACCTCCTAATAATAAATACACAGCAATGTAATGTTGTCTTAGGAATCAACAGTTCCAGAATTTGTCCTTTTTGACCATTTCCCACTAAATGAGACATTGGTGAGCTATGACCATTTCCCATTGTCATGGGATTCAGTTCACACACCTTTCTCCTGAGGTGGTTTGTTCCCAGTGCTTTCATTCTTCAATATTTACATTTTTTCCCCTGATTTTTACCATCTTCCTAATATCCCACCATAGGATCCTGGGTGGCACCACTGGTTTACAATCTTCTGCTAACCCAAGGTTGGTGGTTCAAACCTATACAGCGGCTCTACAGAAGAAAGGTCTGGCAGTCTGCTCCTGTAAATATTACAGCCAAGAAAACCCAAGGAGCACAGTTCTCCTGACACACAGGGGTCATCATGAGTAAGGGCCAACCCAGCATCAGCTAAAAACACCCCACCTACCTTCTTGATGCAAGATGTCTTCTTGCAATGGTTGTGGGGAAGAAATGAGTGGCTGCAAGAGGACTCCTGGTTCTCTCTGCTCCCGACTCCGGCAGGTCATCACCTGGGCTTCCAGGTGTAGTTGTGCAATCCTGAACTGCTCCTAGGTATCTACCCAGCGGGGAAGAGGGGCCCTACCCCCCTACCCCCCTACCCCAGCCTGTCCTCTACTCACCCAGCATGGGGATTACTTCAGCTGAAGGAAAACCCAAACCAAACCTGTTACCACCAAGTCAATTCCAACTCATGATGGCCTGTGTGCTCCAGAGTAGAACTGAGCTCCACGGGATTTTGACAGTGATATTGATGGACGCAGATCACCAGGCCTTTCTTTCACAGCACCACTGGTTAATAGTTGACTGCAAACCATTTGTACCACCCGGAGACCTCCTTTGGAGGAAACAGTTCTTTAGTTCTTTCCCCAAAGGTGAGCCCTCTTGTCAAATCATATGCCTTTAGGGGTGCATCAGCCCCAAGGAGCTTTTTCTAAGGAGCACAAACATGTGAGCACCAGTTTTCCCCCAAGCAACCAGGTCCATGTATTTGGAGGGAGAAGAGCCTGGACCAGGAATCCGTCATTGAGGGCAGAAGTATGTGGTTTTGCCTGTAGCGTTGACCTGTTGGGTGGTGAGACAGACTGTAGAGGGCCTGGTTTTCTAGCCTTATGCACCTGGGGCCCTTGGTCACTACTGTAGGTCTTTGGTGCATCAGATTGCCCTTCATAACTAGTTCTTCTGCACTGGTGTCATTGGACCAGTTGCAGAACCCAGTGCTTTTGACTTACAAGCTATAACTCTTTGAGACCAGAACATCCTAGTTAGGCTGATGCCAGAGGATTTGATAGACCCAAATGTAACTGTTAATTCAGTCCTTTCTTTTTTGGTGACAGGTCATCTTCGGAAAGCCCAGTGGGCCTGAATTTCTGTAGGAAGTGTACACAGCCCATCAATTACCATAATAAGTAAGTATATTAAGAACTTTAAATGTGTGCCAAGGTTGTTTCATTATCTCTTGCCTTTTCTGAATTCTCTGGGCAGTTCCTCCCAACAGATGTTGTCACTTCAGGGCTAATGGACAGAGGAAGTTGTGTGCTAGTTCGGTGATTCTGTGTTACAGATGCGCAATCTAAGAATGAAGGGAGAACAAATCTTCAAAACCCTAATGTTGTTTTGACTTTTCTAAAACCTTCTAGTATGATATAGAGATGTTAAAGGTGTCTAATAAGCAAATAGGAGCTCTGGTGGTGTAGTGCCTAAGGCACCTGACTGCTAACCAGAAGGCTGGCGGTTCAAACCCACCAGCCACTCCTCAGAAGAAAAGTTGGGCAATCTACTTTTGTAGAAATACCGCCTTGGAAACTCAAGTCAGATCCGGCTCTATGGCAGTGAGCTTGAGCTTGGAATAAGCAAATAATTTTGCTAACTTGCTTTGAGATACTAGAGGAGGCAGACCAGAAACAACCTAGCTCTCCTCATCTTCTGGACACCCCCACACACACCTGCCTCACTACCCACTTGAGGAAAATTTGAGTTGACCAAGGAGAATGCAGTACTCATTACTAAATCAGTAAATAGAGTCATAGAACAATGTCTGCACTGTCATTCACTTTTCACAGGTGGGGGTGGAGGTCTACATAGGGTTAGATGAGTGGGCTTCATCCTGGCCTGATAACTGGCTCATTTAAGTTCTTCTCTGAACCCACTTTCCAGGCTTGGGATGAGGACTATATGAGGCATGTACATCCAGCCCTAAGCAGAGTCTCTGGTACTTGGTCATTCAATACAGGCAGACCTCAGAGATACTGTCGCTTCAGTTCCAGACCACCACAATAAAGCAAATATCACAACAAAACCAGTCACACCAACTTTTTGGTTGCTCAGTGAATATAAAAGTTATGTTGACACTGTACTGTAGTCTATTCAGTGTTCAGTAGCATGAGGAAAAATTTGAAATATTGGTGAGAATGACCAAAACATGACAGACGTGAAGTGAGCACATAATGTTGGGAAAATGGCACCTTGACACAGGATTGCCACACACATTCAGTTGGCAAAAAATGCAGTATCTGCAAAGTGCAATAAAGTGAAGCACAATAAAGTGAGGTGCTGTAAATTCATGTCCTTTTCTCTGCATCACTCATTTATTTTTTGCAAAATCCTTTGACAAAAGCAGAAATATTGTGTAATCTCTCTCATGTGAGATATCTAGAATAGGCACATTCTGAGAAACAAAGTTTCCTAGTGGCCGCCAGGATGAGAGAGGGGGGCGTGGAGAGATACTGCTTAAGGAGTACAGAGGTTTTGTCACCAGGTGCCGTGGAGTTGACTCTGACTCTTGGTGACCCCGTGTGTCAGAGTAGGACTGCGCTCTGTCAGATTTTCAGTGGCTGATTCTTTGGAAATAGACTGCCCGGCCTTTCTTCTGGGGTACCTCTGTATAGACTTGAACCCCCAACCTTTTGGTGATCAGCTGAGCGCATCAACCATATGCACTGCCCAGGGACTCCTGAGCTTCTGTGAAGGGTAATACAATAACCAGGAGATGGAGCACAGTGATGGTTGCACAACATGTGAATGTTACTGAATTGTGCACATAAAAATGGCTGAAGTAGCAAATGTTTTGGTATCTATATTTTATCACATGAAAAATATAAAAAGAGGAAGTGGGAAAAGAGCTGTTACATTGTGGGGATTGCAATCAAGGTCACGAAATAAAGTGTGTATGAAATTTTAAAGGAAAACCAATTTGCTCTGTAAACGTTCACCCAAATCACAATACAAAGTTAAAAAAATTAAAAAAAAAAAGAAAAGAAAAAAATAATTGGATGAGTGTGCACTTGCTCAGAGTAGAGACAGAGAGGAGGTTACGGAAGGAGTCTGGACCTCAACCCATTTTCAAATGAAGTTGTTGGGTTTTCCATGGTGTGGGGGCTATTTTCCTATTGAAGCCTTGGCTTTGTGAGTGTTTTCTGTAAGTGGAGCGTATTCAGTAACCCTAAGCTTGCCCTCAAGGCCTTCCAGCCCAGGAGCTGAATGATGGAAAATGAACAGCCAAACACACCAGGCAGGCAAATCCTGAGGGGCAGAGGGTGCTGGAGTCACAGGTCACAGCCGGAGAAGTCCTCGTTCATGCTGAAAGTGATTTGCGCCCCATGTGCTTTTGAAACATATCTCCTTACTTTTATGAAGAGGTGAAAAGTAAGCTTCTGGCGAGGGTCACAGCACACCACCACCTCGTCTTCACCTTCTGCCACATCAGCTGTCAGCAGAAGCAGGGCACTTCCATGGAAAGCCTCCTGGGCTATTCCATGAGTTACTTCTTCGACCACACACCCTGTGGTTCTTGACACTCCAGGCCCCTGCAGAGATAAACAACCACATTCTTTCCCCTTGCTTTCTTCCTGTCCGAAGTGGTGTGTGCTACATCACATTATCACAAAGAGCAGGCAGGTCTTGACTTGGCAAATGAGTGGCTTCAGGAATGGCAAGCTAGTGTCTGATGGCTGTCGAAAGAACGCTCATTTACAGCAAAAGTGCACAAGGTCCATCCTTTCCAAGTTGAATATACTTAATTCATCTATCAGCCCTGCTCTTTTTACCCCAAGGGAGAAAACAAAAGTTATTTCATTCAAAATATTGGAAAGGAAGAATAAATGTTGCTGGTGTTCAGACACACACAAATATTGACCCTCAAGAAAAATGTGCTGCTTTTGCTCTGCAAGCTTCTGCTCAGGGGGAATTTAGAATGCAGAGAACCTGACGGGAATGTTGGCCCCACAGAGCCCTGGTCATACCTACTCACTGTTTATTTGCAGTTGAACATTGTAAGCTAGTTGCTGGAGATGTATGCTGTCATAATACTGCTTTCTTCTTTGCATCTTCTCTTAGTGGCTGCCGATTCCCTGAAATGAGCATCTTCAGATGGGATCCTGGTGTCTTCCAGTTGCCTTGGAGAAGCTACCTCCCAATTACTCCATGCATTCTGCCGAGGTAACCAGCAAGCTGGCCATCTGCTGTTCCCTGAGCAGCCACGGTCTTGGACCACCTTCCCAGACCTCATATTCTCACCTTAAGCTTGACACAGGAGGCTCTTCCTGGTTTTGCAGTAGCTATCTCTCAGTTCTAGTAGAACAGTGGTTAAAGTGTTCATCTCCTACCCAAAATGTCAGCAGATCAAACCCACCAGCCGCTCTGTGGGAGAAAGATGAGGAAGTCAGCTTCTGTGAAGATTTCTACCTTGGAAACCCTATAGGGAAGTTCTCCTCTATCCTCTTGGGGTGCTGTGAATCAGAATTGATTTGATGGCAGTGGGTTTGACACTAAAAGACTGACAGCCTTGAAACCCCTATGAGGCAGTTCTACTCTGTCCTATAGGGTTGCTGTGAGTTAGAAGCAACTCGACAGCAGTGGGGTTTTTAGTTATCAGTCAGCACATGGTGTTTTCTGAGGGCATATTAGACTGATGAAAACCAAACCAAACCTGTTGCTGTCAAGTGTATTCCAATTCATGGGGACCCTGAGTGTTGAAGAGTATAACTGTTCCATAGGGTTTTCAGTGGCTGATTTTTTGGAAGCAGATTGTCACGTCTATCTGCTGATTGTCATGTCTGTCTGCCGATTGTCACTGTGTGGGTTCCAACCACCAACCTTTAGGTTACTGTTGTTGTTGTTAGGTACCGTTGAGTCAGCTACAACTCATAGCTACCCTGTGTACAGCAGAACAAAACACTGCCCAGTCCTGTGCCAGCCTCACAATCCTTGCTATACATGAGCCCATCGTTGCAGCCACTGTGTCAGTCCATCTCATTGAGGGTCTTCCCCTTCCTCACTGACCTTCCACTTTACCAAACATGATATCCTTCTCCAGGAAATGATCCCTTCTGACAAGTAGGTGAGATGAAGTCTGGCCATTCTCGCTTCCAAGGAGCATTCCAGCTGCACTTTCTCCAGGACAGATTTTGTTAGTTCTTCTGGAAGTCCATGGAACTTTCAGTATTCTTCACCAACACTACAACTCAAAAGCATCAGCTCTTCCTTCTTTGGTCTTCCTTAGTCACTGTCCAGCTTTCACATGCATATAAGCCTATTGAAAATACCATGCTTGGGTTAGGCACACCTTAGTCTTCAAAGAGACATCTTTGCTCTTCGACACTTTAAACAGGTGTTTTGCAGCAGATTTGCCCAATGCGGTATGTTGTCTGACGTCTTGACTACTGCTTCCATTGGTGTTGATTGTGGAGCCAAGTAATGTTGGCGTAGTGCCAAAAGCATTTGACTGCTAACCAGAAGGCTGGGAGTTCAAACCCACCAGCCACTCCTTGGAAGGAAGGTTGGGCAATCTACTTCCATAGTGATAATGCCTTGGAAACCCAAGGAGGGGTCACTATGAGTTGGATCCGACTCAATGGCAGTGAGTTTGGTTTTTGTGTTTTTTGACAACTTCAATCTTTTCTCCAATTATCATGATGCTGCTTATTGGTTCAGTTGTGAAGATTTACATTTTCTTTACATTGAGGTATAATCCATACTGAAGACTATACTCTTTAATCTTCATCCATAAGTGTTTCAAGTCATCTTCACTTTCAGCAGGCAAAGTTGTGTTATCTGCTTATAGCAGTATGGTAGTTAAGGTTGTTGTCAACTTGGCTGGGCCTGGTTGAGTGGCTGCGCAGCTGGAGGTAGTTATTCCCCGTGATGAGACTGGCAATCAACTCCATGGTAGAATCAGGCATGAGCAGTGAGTAGCTGCTTTAAGGATGTGGTCTGTTTCCCATATATAAAGAGAAGCTTTGGGATTGATCTCTAGCCTTTTGGCATGCCTGAACTCTGCATGTAGCCAAGTCATTGTTCAACAGCCTGCCATACCTTGCCTGTCTTGGGACTTCATCTGGACTTGAGTTAGTGGCCTGCTGTGTTGTTTGGTAACATTGGGACTGTGCCTTTTTACTTGTTGATCTTGGGTTTGTCAGCCTCAGCAGCCAGCTGCTGTCTGAATGAAGAAAAGCCTCCAACTTCAGTGAGCTGGGAGCAGGAGGCAGAGCTGAAGCCCAAGGTTGAGCCACCTTCACCCAGCCCGTAGAACCTGGCACTTTGAACTTGGACTTAAAGTCTCCAAACTGTAAGAGAATAAACTCCAGTTTGTTAAAGTCATCCCATTTGTGGTATATTCCTGTCAGAGCAGCACTAGCTAACCAAAACAAGCAGGTTGTTAATGAATCTTCCTCCAATTCTGATGCCACATTCCTCTTCATATAGTCTAGCTTCTTGGATTATTTGCTAAGCACACAGATTGAATAAGTGTGGTCAAAGGATACAACCCTAACACTCTCCCTTCCTGATTTTAAACCGTGCATTATCCCCTTGTTCTGTTTGAATGACAGCCTTCTGGTCTATGTACAGGTTCCTCATGAGCACAATTAAGTGTTCTGGAATTCCCATTCTTCTCAATATTATCCATAATTTGTTATGACCCACACAGTAGAATGCTTTTGCATAGTCAATAAAGCACAAGTAAACATCTTTCTGATATTCTTTGCTTTGAACCAAGATCCATTTGACATTAGCAGTGATATCCCTGGTTCCACATCTTCTTCTGAATCCAGCTTGTATTTCTGGAAGTTTCCTGCAATGTACTGCTGCAACAATATTTGAATTATCCTCAGCAAAATTTTATTTGTATATGATATTAATGATATTGTTCAATAATTTCCACATTCTGTGGGATCACCATTCTTTGGAATGGGTACAAATATGGATCTCTTCCAGTCAATTGGCCAGGTAGCTGTCTTCCAAGTCTCTTGGCATAGCCAAGTGAGTGCCTCCAGTGCAGCATCCATTTGTTGAAATGTCTCAATGGTTATTCCGTCAATTCCTGGAGTCTTGTTTTTCACCACTTCCTTCAGTGCAGGATGAACTTCTTCCTTCAATACCATTGGTTCTTGATCATATGCCAGCTCCTGAAATAGTTGAACATCAGCCAATTCTTTTTGGTACAGTGACTCTGTGTATTCCTTCTATCTTCATTTGATGTTTCTTGCATCATTCAATATTTTGCCTATAGAATCTTTCAATATTGCAACTCAAGGCTTGAGTTTTTCCTTCAGCTCTTTCAGCTTGAGAAATGCCAAGCACGTTCTTCCCTTTTGGTTTTCTAACTCCAGGCCTTTGTATATTTCGTTATAATATTTGAATTTGTCTTCTCTAGCTGCTCTTTGAAATCTTCTGTTCAGCTCTTTTATCTTGTCATTACTTCCATCTAATTTGCTACTCTCCATTTAAGAGCAAGTTTCAGAGTCTCTTCTGACATCCACTTTGGTCTTTTCTTCCTTTCCTGTTTTTTTAATGACCTTTTGCTTTCTTCATGTAAGATGTTCTTGATGTCATCCACTAGTTGTCTGGTTTTCAGTTGTTGGAGTTCAATGTGTCAAATCTATTCTTCAGATAGTTTCTAAATTCAGGTGGGATATAATCAAGGTCATATTTTGGCTCTCATTGACTTGTTTTAATTGTCTTCACCATTACCCTTGAACTTGCATATAAGCAGGTCTGTTCCATCTGCATAACAGATGGTCTGTTGCAGTCAGCTCCTGGTCTTGTTTTGCCTGAAGATAATGAACCTCTCCATCACCTCTTTTACAGATGTAGTTGATCTGATTCCTGTGTATTCCATCTGGTGAGGTCCATGTGTATAGCTGCCATTTATGTTGTTGACAAAAGGTATTTACAATGAATAAGTCATTGGTCTTGCAAAATTCTATAATGCAATTTCCAGTGTCTTTTCTATCACCATGGCCGTATTTTGCAACTACCAGTGATTCTTCTTTGTTTTCCAACTTTTGCATTCCAATCACCAGTGATAATCAACACATCCTGACTGCATGTTTGGTCAATTCCAGACTGCAGAAGTTGGTAAGAATCTTCAATTTCCTCATCTTTGGCTTTGGTGGTTGGTGCATAAATTTGAATAATAGTAATATTGACTGGTCTTCCTTGTAGGCATATGGATATTATCCTATCACTGATAGCACTGTACTCCAGGATAGATGTTGAAGCATTCTTTGTGATGATGAATGCCACAGCATTCTTCTTCAATTTGTCATTCCCAGAATAATAGATCGTATGGTTGTCTGATTCAAAATGGCCCAAACCAGTGCATTTCAGCTCACTAATGCCTAGGATATAGATCTTTATGTGTTCCATTTCATTTTTGACAACTTCCAATTTTCCTATATTCATACTTTGTACATTCCTTGTTCTGATTATTAATGGATGTTTTCAGCTATTTCTTCCCATTTTGAGTCATGCCACATCAGCAGATGGAGGTCCTGAGAGCTTTACTCCATCCACATCATTAAGGTCGAGTCTACTGTGAGGAGGCAGCTCTTCTCCTGTCGTATTTTGAGTGCCTTTCGGCCTGAGGGGCTCATTTTTGACACCATATCAGACAGAATTTCAGGGCTTTTCATAAAGTTTTCCAGTACTATATCCAACAGTGTTTCACTTTGAGACGTGGATGGCTCCTTCCATCTTCTGAGTCTGTCTTAGTCTGGAAGCTCCACTGAAACCTGGCCACCATGGGTGACCCTGCTGGTATTTGAAATACTGGTGGCATAGCCTCCAGCCTCACAGCAACACACAAGCCACCACAGTACAACAAACTGACAGATGAGTGGTGGACAGACTAGGTTACTAGTCAAATGCACACCATTTACACCACACAGGATATACTCATTGGTCTGATAGGACAAGAGAAATAGCTGGTTGTGAAGCCCATTCATTTTTTGCTGTTAGTTGCCATCGAGTGGGCTCTGACTCATGGTGATGCATGTACAGCAGAATGAAACGTTGTGGTCCTGAACCATCTTCGTGATCGTTGGTGTGCTCAGTTCCATTGTTGTAGCCACTGTGATTTTGAGTGCCTTCCACCTGGGGGCTCATCTTCCAGTGTCATATCAGACAATGTTCTGTTGTGATCCATGGGTTTTCATTGGCTGATCTTTGGAAACAGATTGGCAGCCCTTTCTTCATAGTCTGTCTTTGTCTGGAAGCTCTGCTGAAACCTGTTCAGCATCATAGTGACACATAAGACTCTGATAGACAGGTGGTGCCTGAACATGAGATGCATTGTCCAGGAATGGAGCCTAGGTCTCCCATACAAAAGACAAGAATTCTACAATTGACCCATAAATGCCCTCATTCTCATTTCCTAGAACACCCAGTTACCTTCTTAATACTGTGGAACAAACCTGAGTTTTGAAGATAGACAAATCTTGACCCAAAATCCATGTTCTGCCACTATCTGAGTCTCAAAGATGAAACTGAGCCCATATCTTCCTATAAGGTTACTATGAATGTTGAATAAGATAATACCTGTTAAGCAACAAATATAGTGCCTAACAAAATATTGAGTCCTTTTTCCTACTTGACATAAGCTATCTTTCTAGCTATACCCTCCAAACCAAAACCACACTCACTGCCATCGAGTCGATTCCAACTCATAGTGACCCCCTTTGGGTTTCTGAGGCAATCAATCTTTACAGAAGTAGATTGCCCAGTCTTTCTTCCGAGGAGTGGCCGGTGGGTTTGAACCACCACCTTCTGGTTAGCAGTCAAATGCCTTAGGCACTACACCACCAGAATATCCCCTCAGTCTTTTCAAATATCCTGTAGACCTATGCTGGCAAGTATAGTAGCTGTCGAGCACTTGACCTGTGGCCAGCCCAAACTGAGATGTATTGTTAAGTGCAAAATCAGGTTTCAAAGACTTAGAAAGAAAAGAATGCAAAAATAACTCAATCATGGTTTTGTTTTTTTCAATTGATTCCATGTCAAAATTATCATCTTTGGGCTATAAAGGGTTGAACAAAAACAAACTAACAAACAAAAACACTGCTGCTGAGTCAATTCCAACTCATTGCAACCCTTTAGGGCAGAGTAGAACTCCCTGCCTTATATGGCTGTAAATCTTTACAGAAGCAGACTGCCTCTACTTTCTCCCACAGAGAGGCTGCTGGGTTCAAACTGCAGGCCTTTTGGTTAGCAGCCAAATGCCTTAAGGACAGCACCACCAGAGCTCTTATTTTCACCTGTTCCTTTTCACTTTTTCAAATGTAGCCGTTAGAAAATTTTAATTTGTGCGAATGGCTCGCATTATATTTCTAGTCGACAGTATTCCATTAGACCACGCAAATTCAGGTGCCCCCAGGAGCCAGGTAAGTAACCTAAGTGGATGCCAGTCCTGGTAGACATTGTCTCCACTGGAGACAGTCTGCCCATTTGAAGGCCACTGCTGCTTTTCCACTCTGCAGATCAGTGCCAGGCTGGGATGCAGGGCCAGTGTTTTCATATCTTTCAACTCTCAAATGAAGTTAGAGGAGCTGTCTTTTATGTGAAATTTCCTGCTTTGTAAATCCTGACAATGAATTTAAAAAAAAAAAAGTTTCCATACTCTATGGGCTAGATCCAGCCAGTGGGCCCCAAGTTGTCACTTTCTTTGTATTAGATGGTTCCCAGGGTCCCCACCACACGCACACACAGACTCTTGGAGGTACAGCCTGGTTCTTTTGGTTGAAACTGAAATGGACACAAAACCCCAATCTTGTGGTATGGCCTGATCAGCCGAGGCCCTCCTCACTCAGCACTGCACAGTGGCTCTGGAAGAAGACAGTTCTGATGGGAATTTAGGAAAGAAATGATCTCTAGGAAGGCATTGGTGGGTCAGTGGTAGAATGTTTGCTTTCCACACAGGAGGCCTGAGTTCTTCTCTGTCAGTGGAGGCTTGCTTATTGCTAGGATGCTGAACAGGTTTCAGTAGAGCTTCCAGATTAAGATGAACTCAGAAGAGAGGCCTGGGGATCTACTTCTAGAAATCAGCCAATGAAAACCTTGTGGATCACAATGGTCTAATCATGGGGATGGCACAGGACCAGGCAATGTTTCATCCCATTGTGCATGGGGTCGTCATGCATTGGGAACGTTTTAATTGACTTGACAAAGTAAAAAGAACTTGTTCAGTGCAGAAGTGAACTTGAACCAAAGCCCCTGACTCCAAGGTCTTTATTTTAGGTGGGGGGTTGAGGGACTTACATTTGTAAAGAGCCCCTGGGTGGTAACACCCTCAGCTGCCGATCCAGAGGTTGGAGGTTCAAGTCCACCCACAGGCACCTCAAAAGAAAAGTGCAGGTGATCTACTGAAATCAGCCAGTGAAAACCCTGTGGAGCACAGCTCTGTTCTGACTCATGTGGCGACCCCACGTGGGGTCATCAGGAGTCAGAGCCCACCGGTTGGTTTATATTTGTGTAACCTTGACATTCACTCTGCTTATTAGTAATCAGAAAAGGAGATTGAATGACTAATCTTTTTCTTGTTGTTTGTTTTTCTTTAACACAGAAAGTCCCTTTACAGAATCCTCCCATTAAGTGGGCTGAAGGACATAAGGGAGTGTTTAATGTTGAAGTACAAGCTATTTCCTCCATGCACACCCAGGTAGGAAAGTTCAAGGTTAACATTCAGTCGGGCCTGGAAGGCTGGTAATGAAGATGGGGGAGGCAGCAGGGTGACCTTCCACGGACAGGCGAAGAAAGGCTGATGAAAATCCTTGTACATGGATTTAGAAAAACAAAAAGAACCTTTAGTTCTTAATAGGGACTTACAAGCTTGGTCAGCTTTCATTTGTTGCTTAAATAGAAAGACCTGACAAAGATGTCGAGCTCCTGAGTGAACCGAGCCAGTGGTTACACTGTGGGTTGAGGTACTTTGGGGGAAGATGTCATCTGAAACATTTGCTGCTGCTGCCTCATTGTCATTTATAATTGTGCTGTTTGACCAGCCTTTTTCCTTTATTTTAGTTCCACATTCCCTCCACATTCCCTCTTCCTGCCACTGAGTTTTGTGTTTGCTTAGATACCACCCCCTTTTTTCTGTGTAAACTTTTATTTTTTCACTGCAGTAAAAATATATATACCTCAACATTTTTTACATGTACAATTCAGTGATATTAATTGCATTCATTCACCGTGTTGTGTGACTGTCACCACAGTCCATTTCCAGATTTTTCCATCACCCTTCACCGAAGCTCAGCGCCCTCTGGGCAGTGAGCCCCCTCTCCCCCTCCCTCCCACCTCTAGTAACTAATAAACATTTGTCTCTATACATTTGGCACATTTTAGATTATTTCATAGAAATGGAATCATACAATATTTATCCTTTTGTGATTGACTTATTTCACTCAGCATCATGTTTTCAAGATTCATAGCACGTATCAGGACTTCAGTTCTCTTTATGGCTGAGTAATATTCCCTTATACATTGTATTTATCTCTTCATCTGTTGATGAAAACTTGGGTTGTTGCCAGAATGTAGTAAGTAATTCTTCAGTGAACATCAGTGTACAAGTGTCAGTTTGCATCCCTGCTTTCAAGTCTTTTGGGTATCTATCTACCTAAGACTGGGATTGCTGGGTCATTTTGTTTGTTTTCTATTAAATATTAAGTTTATTTTTGGTGAAACTGTATAAACGCATGCATGCACCCAGTCAACACTTTCTACACATACAGTTAAGTGACACCCTATGGCAGTTCTTGACCCCCTTCTGGACAGTGTGTTTATCTGCTGTGCTGGCCTCTGCTTGCAGATCAGGTCAGAGCCGAATGCTTCTGTCTTCAGTCCACAGTCGTGGAGAGGTCATAGTCTGTGCACAGTAGGGGTCATGACCTAGGTCTGAAGTGTCTTGTCTTAGAACTTCTGGGCGGAAGTGCTGGTTAAGAAGTTCTGCCTCTAAACTGGAGATCCATTTGTAGAAAAATGAAACAAGATCTGTACCTCACACCATACACAAAAACGAACTCCAGATGGATCAAGGACTTAAATGTGAAACCTAGAACTATACAGTTCATCAAGGAAAATTTAGGGTCAAATTTAAGGGCCCTAGTACATGGCATAAATAGACTACCAAGCA